TGCCCTCCTACCGTCACTGGCACGAAGGGCGGCGTCCCTGGAGCAGCTGTCTCAAGCACGGAGAATGGGAGCACCAGGAGTGGCTGGCGGGGAATGGAGGAGCGGACACGGAGACTTCTGAGGATCTCCGCCGCGAGATCGAGAAGGAGTCGGAGCACCAGAACAAGAAGAAGCCAGCCCCGCCTCCACCGCTCATCGATCTCCGCCCTCTGGCCAAGCGTGACCCGCGGGATCCCCCCCCCCAGGCGGATCGGGAGGCGGATCGGGATCGCGGGGCGGTGGCGGATTGGAGAAGGCGGCGGTGCTGACCAGCCTCTGGGAGTCGACACTCCGAGCTGTGCTGTGAGGCAGCACTCCGGAGCAAGCACCCTGCAGCCCCTTGAGCTCCCCGCCTAGTCTTGCTAGGTTGGGTTGTAGCTCAGGGCTGCTGTAGAGTAGCCGAGCCGGCCTGTAGCTCCCTGCGAAGCCCTGCATCTGCAATCGCCTGAAAGAGCTGTAACATAAACCCTAAACCTGAAACCCATATATATATATATATATATATATATATAGACACTAAAACCTAAACCCAAGGAAAAATTCAGATGCAGGGTGACTCCAGGTCGTAGCTGACTTCGCAGGGCTTCGACAGGAAGATCTGCTAAGCCAAACAGGAAGCACCCCCGGAAACACTCAACCCTATATAGAATCCAAAATATGAAAGCTATAAAATTTATCCTTAACCCCGGAAGCCCTCGGCCCCAGTACAAACCCAGGACCCGGCATGAAGAAATAAAGATAAGATAATATAGGAAGCCCCATGGTTGAGTGCTTTAGGGTTTATTCTAAAGCTGAGTGCTCCTAAAACTCTCGCCCGGATCTGTCGAAGCCCAGTCTTAAGTCGTAGAGTGGCCAGACGGCGAAGCGGAGCACTGCGAGCTGGAACTCGGAGAAGAAAAGGGTGGAGCTTTTTTTCGACAGGGATTCTGTAACTATACATGTGCAAGCAGGTTGGTGTAGCCGTGATGTTTCAAGACAGTGACCTCTAGAGTCCATTTTGGGAAGCAGCAGCAGACCTTGGGCCTCGGCATCGGCAAGGCCATATATATATATATATATATATATATAGACACTGTATATATATATATATAGACATGTATACTCTCTCTCTCTCTCTCTATATATATATATATATACATATACATCGCGAAAGCCGCAGAATCCCCAACCGTGTGGCACAGGTTGGGCTCGGCAGAGATGGCGAAGCAATGGTTTTCTCGCGGTGAGCTTTGTGCACTGCAGCAGTCTCTGCTGCAGAGTTCGCTTCCCCCTCCTGTGGATTGGCTGGACTTTGAGGCGGAGGCGGTGCGAGAAGCACTCTACTGGGCGATGAAGAGTGCTGCTGAGAATCGCGACAAGTCCGCTCGCGTCATAGCAGCACTGTGTCTCTTAAGATTCCAGTGGGGGGACCTTCTTAAGGAAACCGGAGCGGATCATGGCCAAATGTACAGCGGATACAGCTATGTGCCGGCAGAGCCTGAGTATCCGCGGCTCACAGAGCAGGAGCGGGTCAGGGCGCTCACGGCAGAGTGGAGCCACAGCCGAGTCGACCGGCAAGTTCGCGAGTTGCGACATGCTCTGAGAATTATCCCCGCTTATTTCGGTTCCAACTTGAACCGAGAGTGGGAGAGCTACTTCGAAGCTGCTGCGGAGCAGCTTCAGATCACGATGATGCTACTGGAAATCGTGCACAACAGAGACTATAGACTGCTTGAAGGCCTCGAAATGGAGGAGAAGAGGTAGTGCTCCTGCTAGCTCTCCGGAGAGACTCCTTCTGCTGATCTTGGCCTTGCAAAACGTCCGGCCGGAGGCGTAGGTGATCGTAGGTGTTTGTAGGTGGTCACTCTGGGCCACCTGGCTAGGCAGGTGGCGTAGGTGGCGTAGGTGGTCTAATGTCCTTACCTTTCCATGGATCTGGAGGCGTAGGTGGTGTAGGTGGCCTGCTTTTCCTTACTTCTCAGGTCGGGCCAGGCGTAGGTGGTGTAGGTGGCGACCCTGGCTTAGGCCTTCAACATGGGGGCCTGGCGTAGGTGATTGTAGGTGGTACTCTGCGGCTAAGCTGCTGGCAGGAGCTTTTCTGGAATCGCTGCTGTCTGTTTCTTTGTGGATTTAGGAAGCAGAAGTAGAGCTGCAGACTGGGGATTTCTTGGCCTCCGCAGCTACCTACTTTCAGCTTCTAGTTTGCCCCTCTCCTCCTAGCTTGGCCAGACCGCAGCCATGGTTGCCGCCTTCGAGGACGCTCAAGTCGAAAGCCTCGAAAGCCGTTGCAGGACACGGCAGCGGAGCCGCAAGCTTGTGTACTCTGCCAGAAGACCTTCGCGGCCCAGGACCTGACCGGGCGGTGGACAAGCAAGAAGTGCAAGACCTGTGCCGCTCTGGAGATGAAGTTGTGGCGGCAGCTGGGGTCCTTCGAGCCATGGAAGAATACCACCGCGGCAGAGAAGGCGGAGTTCTACAAGGGCTCAGGCGAGTACAAAGACTGGCCGACGCTCGAAGCTCGTCTCACGGACGTCCGTTCGCTTCCAGAAGGAGTGTGAGAAAGGTGAGTACTTGCCGGCTACGGTGTACTTGGCGAAGGGCTTTACCCAAGAGCACATCGACAATTGCGATGAACGCCGCGAGCATTCCCACCTCGGCGAGACTATCAGAATCCCGATTCAGTCTCGCAGCACCGGCGAGATCAGGGAGTCGATTCAGGAGGAGATCAACAAGAGGGTGAAGGACGTTCGCAAGAAGAAGGGGGACCCGACCACTAAAGACTGGGACCTACCGTCGCACACCTCGAAGGAGAGTCAGACAGCAAAAGCGGAGACAGCCGCCAAGAAAGCGGCGGTGAAGGCGAAGAAGCAAGCTGTGGCCGTGGCACAGTCCTCCTTGGCTTCGGTAACCTCGCTGTGGTGCTCCGTCAGCACCTGGGAAGGGAAGGAGACCGACCCGGAGCTGCTCGCCAAGCTGAAGGACCTGAAGTGCAAGCTGGGCCGAGCAGGTCCTCGCGAAGAAGGACACCGAGGAGGTCGTCCCCCTTGCCTTTTCCAAGAGCGACCTGAAGACCTTGAGCAAGGAAGTCCAGGACGTGCTGGGGGACTGCAAGCAGGCCCAGAAGGAGAAGAACAGGTTGAAAAAGGCCGCGAAGGAAGCGAAGCCGGCAGCGACGGAGGCAGAGAACCCGCCTGCCCTAAAGAGACGCAGGTCAACAAGGGCAGCTGAGCCGTCGCCGAAGTAGGAGGTTTCACGTGATCCTCCGCCCAGGTAGCATGAATCATCGCATGCAGGCATGCATCTTGCAAGGCCATAGTTTTTTAGCAGCAGGTAGTTTTTTCTTGTAGCTTTCTATAATTCGATGCAATCTAATTCAAGACAACGAGAACCGATGCAGACCACTGAGGACGAAACATGCAAGGAGTTGCGAAGACCATGGTCAGAAGCGTCGTTGTGCACAGCTTCACTCTTTCTGCAGCCAGTTCTGCTCCAGACCCTGTGTAGCCTCGCCCCTGCAGTGCCTTGTACAGTATGCGGCAGCGTCAGGCTTGTCTGTACAACGCATAATATAATATCTGTATAGAATATATTCTTGTTCGAACTGGCAGGCGAGCCCCGACACCGCGAGGCGTTCGTTGAGAGAACGTTCGCGGTACCCCAGGGCGACGTTCGAATGGCGCTGGTGTTGGAAGAAAAGCATCGGCCTGGGCGGTGCCGTCGTGTGGTGGTGGAAGTGGTTCAAGTATCCATTGGCCCGGGACCACACTTCGGCAGAAGCCGGCGAGCCGGCCGCGGCATCGTCGCGGGGCACGAAGCGGAGGTGCGAGAGGTCTGAGTCGGAGGACTCCGAGCAGTAGCTGCCAGTTTTTGCAATTGCTGTGCATTCGCGGCATGTCGCATGTCACAGCAGATGCACTGTATAGAGAGTCTGCTCAAATCGAATTTGCTTTCGCCACTGCTGTGGGACAGCATGCCCGTGAAAAGCGTGAGCCCTTCACAGCTGGAAGTAGTGCAAGCTTCGGCCTTCTTCTAACAAGCAGCCCGATACAGATCCCCGTCAGGGCTATATGCGGCCGTATTAGTTGGAAGCTGTGAGCTGGAGGGCAGTAGTGCTTGCCCTGTGTCTGTACGGCATCATGTCTATACTTTTTTGACAGGGAACCTATATATGTGGCTGCGTTGGTTCAAATACATGCAGGGAAATCCTTTAGGGCAGACCGCATCCCTCCCCGTACTGTCCGCGGCTGAAGGCCATGTCGAAGCAAGCTCGTGCGGTGCTCCAGGACGAAGGTCGTGCGGTGGACCTCTACTTCGGGAAAAACAAGGTAGGGTTCCATGGAGATTTCTATCTACGCCCGAAACCCTACTAGACCCTATAAGCCCTAAACTTGCTGCATGAATATAAGATCTCCAGGCCCAGATGAGAATGATGACACTGAAGCATGCTTTCGCTTTGTCGGCGAATGCAACAGTCTGCGAGCACGTCGCCCTGCACGGTTGGGTTCACAAGGGCATAGAGCCTGACGGACGTTTCCTGGACGCTCAAGCCCTGGTCCAAGGCAGAGTCGTGCAGTTGAGGAACTGCAAGCGAAGCCGCCGCTGCAGCCCCAAGTCGCGGAAGACTCGCAGGCTCGGTGACAGCAGCTCCCCTGCAGACTCCAAGCGGCCCTCGGACACACCAGGGAAACTTTTGCGGAAGGAAGAGATGGCCATGCTAACACAGCGAAGTGTCAGCGACCAGCTCAACTGAGTTAGTACTTGTGTACAGAGCAAACGTGGTTTGACCCACGATCGATCGCAATAGCAGAGGAAAAAAAAGCTTTGCTGCTCTTTGCAAGCGTTCCACATCACGATGTATATAATAATAATAATAACAATAATAATAATAAAAATAATAACTTGACCGCGTCTGAATGCTGCATACCTGCCTCCGGAGAACCAACTCAGCTCAAGAGGATGTAGCGTCCTGTTGCCTGCCGCCCATGGAAACCTCGAGGAAACGGAAGCGAGACGAGCTGCTTTGTCTTCCGAGCAGGTCTGAGTTCATTGAGCGGCTGCAGAGTATACGTGGGCTTACCGATGCCCACATCGAGAAAATTACAGCTGGCCTGGGCATGCCTGCAATCAAGCACGACACCGGCCTGAAGTATGAGAGAGAAAAAGGATGCCTTCGGGACCTTCTGCTACCAGCAGCGAAGGGAGACCCGATAAGGATCCCTGTCATGAGCCTAGCTGCGTCATTGACTCAGAAGTGCCAGGCGAACAAAGCATTCGCAGACATTTTGTCTGCGGCTGTAAAAACGGCACCTGACGGCACCCTGGATGCCCTGGTGTATGTCGACGAAGCCGTCCCAGGCAACATTGTCCAACCAGACAACCGCAGAAAAGCGTACCTCATGTACATTAGCTTCCTGCAGTTGGCCACGACGTTGCAGGCAGAGTATTCATGGACGACGGTGGGGTGCGTCAGGCATTCTCTAGTAAATGCAGCAGCTGGAGGCTTGGCCGGCGTCATGTGCGAATTCGTTGGCCGCTTGCAAGAGGAGCTCCAGGGTTTCGCAATCCAGGACAGCGCGGGCTCGCCCGTTCTGGTGCGAGCCCAGAAGTTTTGGCTGCTCGCAGATGAAGCTGCTTTGAGACGGACCATGGCGGCTAAAGGTTCTTCCGGGGTGCGGCCCTGCAAAAAGTGCAGGAATGCTTGCAACGTCGGCTACAGCATGGACTCCTTGCATCCGATAACAGAGCCAGATTTTGGGGTATTTCGCCGCTTGCATGTCGAAAAATTAAAGGAATACCTGCAACACCTGAGGCAGCTTCCCAACCAAGCCCAGCTGGAGCGAGCCCAAACCCTGCTTGGCTGGCGATACGTGCCGCAGAGTTTCCCCTGCCGGCAACCCGACTTGATCCCTCCGCAGCGGGTTCTCGACGACGGGCAACATTGCTTCTATGTGAACGGTATAGTGAACGTGGAGCTGGGACTCTTCCTGGATGCAGCGCTAGAAGCGGGTGCTCTTAAGAAAACAGCAGAGCTGGCGGATGCCTAGGCAAAACATGCTTGGCAAGGTCAAGATATGAGGGTGGCGCGACTGCTCGGTTCCAAACTCTTGCAATCCGGTGGGGAATATCGCGGCAAGGCCTCCGAAACAATGTCGGTCTTGCCTTTGGTCGTTTCTTTGCCGAGAGAGTGCTGGCTCCTTGCGAGTTGCTGAGGGACAACGTTCGATCACTGCAGCTACTCTGCCGAATTTCTAATTATGTGCGTTTCCTGAAGCAGTCCCGGGACAAAGCGGCGGCCCGGGACATGCTCCAGCTGCAAAAGAAGCACCTTGAACTTTACGAGAAGTGCTACGGGACGGACAAAGTGAAACCGAAGCACCACTATGCGATGCACATACCTTCCCAACTTGAGGAAAGCCATGTTCTGGCTGATTGCTTCCCCGCTGAGAGGCGAAACAATCTCTTCAAGCAGGATGTGGCACCCAGAATGAAGAAACTAACAGGTTTCGAACAAGCTGTCTTGCTGCGACTTGCAAGGACGGATGCCCAAATGCAAACGTCCTTCAGTTTGCAGCCAGCCTTGGAGAACCCAAGACCTGATGCAGCTCTGGCACTGCAGCTTGGCGTGGCCAAGGCCCTCTGCTCCAGGCGCCTGTTGTGCAGCAGCGGTGCTATTGAAGCAAAAAAGATCGTGTACATCTTGGCTCCCACCCTGGCGGTCAATGTGAGATGCTGGGTCCAGCTCAAAAATGACTGTTTCGGGCTTTGCCATAAGATGCACACGGTAAATGATTCCATGTCGTGGCTTTCTCAATGCAACAGTGTGTGGACAACGACGGAAGAGAACGTGTTAGTACCCTGCAAGTTCATCTTGCATACCTGTCGCGTGTCTTGGTCCCTTCAAGAAGGGACCAAAGTCACTTTGTTGCATTAATTATACAGACATTATACTCGCAAAATCTGGCAAATGCCGAAAAAAAGGTGCGATTCAGCAAAAGTATGGTTTTTGAGACTGCAAAAAGTTATTACGACTTATTCGGACTTGCAAGATAACTCAACATAACTCAACATAACTCAACATAACTTCGGGGCTACTTAGGTAGGCTCTGCCTGCCTACGTCACGCGCTGCGCTATCGACCTTTCACAAGAAGATCCCCGGCAGCTGCCTGACCTTCTCCTTCAAGCAATTTGGTCCCGGGTGGTTCTAGGCGTCATTGCAGACCTCAGCTCACTTGCCCCACACCTCGAAGAAGCCTGCGCCTTTCTACAGGCCATACGCTCCTCCGGAGCCTCAGCCCTCCTCTTCCTGCCAACAGATCATTTCCTCTTTCTCCGTTCTGCGAGGCGGTCCACGACGGGGGACTCTTCCTCTGCCCGGAGCCAGATTCAGATAGGGTACTCCTAGCCACAGCTCCCTTACCCACGTGGCCTTGTGCAGACCCGGGCCTTACAGCCTTGGAAGCGGCTGGGATGTTTGCGGCAATGCCACTTTCTACCATCTTCTATGAGGATAGGGAGGGTTCTCAGAAGGGTACTTCTCAGTGTGTTTAACCCTATTCAACAATATTCAGAAATGTTTGCATTTCTGCTTAAATATTCGGAAATATTCAGTTTTCTTCGGTAAACTTCCATAATATTCTTCATTCTTCCAGGTTCTTCACCATTATTCTTAGATCTTCGTAAATCTTCGAAATTATTCGAAACTATTCGAAATTATTCCAAAATATTCCAAATTATTCGTTGTATCTGCGGAGAACTTGAAACACTTTTCTAGACCATTCTTCTCAGATCTTCGTAAATCTTCGAAATTCTTCGAAATTATTCCAAATTATTCGTTGTATCTGCGGAGAACTTCAAACACTTTTCTAGACCATTCTTGTTCTTAGCATGAGCTTGACCTTGCTTGCTTTGTCGTTGTCCTTAGTCCGTCCTTACCCACGCAGAACATGCGAGACACCGTTGGCCGGGTGTCGGGACTGAAGTGCCATACGTTCCTGCTTCTGGCCAACCCACTTCGGTGGATGACAGCAGAGCACATGGGCTAATGCGTCTGCTGGGCAGGATCCTGTGCTCACCCGTTTCGACAATCCTCTCCCCCTGACCGTGCGGCCGGCGGTCACACAGGGGTGCATGTTGCCGAGCGGGGACAGCGCCAGTGCTTTGTCGCCCACTTGGGGTGGAAGAGCGAGGGCTGCACAGTGCCTTCAGACTGCAGGGGAGGCCGCAAGAGAGACAAAGAGAAGGAAAGAGAGAAGAGAGAGAGAGAGGGTCCCTTTAAGGAGCCCTACTAACTACTTACTGTTCCCCCAGCTGAAACCGCCAGCTGTGCTCAGTCAGGTCAGGCTCAGACGAGTTTTTAGGCGGCCGGAACTGCCTCCTTGAAAACTCTGGTGTTCAATGGCATTTTCTCACTCTTGATTGATGGCTGCAATGCAGGGGCCTTATTGACTAGACTAGGGCTTGGGGCTCCTATACAATATGCGTGGAACTTTGTCTGAAATCAGCAGTCTGAAATCAGCCGTCTGAAATCAGCTTCGTCTGAAATCAGCAGTCTGAAATCAGCCGTCTGAAATCAGCTTCGTCTGAAATCAGCAGTCTGAAATCAGCAATCTGAAATCTGAAATCAGCATAGCCATGATGCCTGGCACTCCTGAGTGGCCAGCCTGTGCGTTCTCGTCCTGGTACAAGGAAAACAAGAGCTGTGCCCGGATCCTCAGAGGGGTTTAAAGGGGTTTCGGTCTGTGTTCAGTCAGGCTCGATGGCTGCAATGTAGGGGCCTTATTGACTAGACTAGGGCTTGGGGCTCCTATACAACATGCTTGGAACAAGGAACCCGAAGGAATAGTATTGGTAGTTATCTAGGCTTCTATAGTAACCTTAAACCCTCGCAGCCATGGGCAAGCGCAAGCACGCTCGGGACAAGCGGCTGCCGGAGTACTTGAGATGCAATTGAATCATTGTCATTTGTGTTTGATTTTGAGAGTCAGGGAGGACGGCTCACGCAGAAATACCGATGAATGAAATCATCATCTGAGGCACCTGAGGCCCAGCGAGTTCGGGCTACGCTATTATGATATGGCGCCGATGGGAGGGCAAGCGTCGTCGTCGATGTCGGGGATGGGCCCCCAGATGATGGCGGGGCAGGCTGCCATGCAGCCGATTATGTTTCGCCAGGCTGGCGTCGTGCAACCCATGGGGTCCCAGATGCTAGGCCAGGCCGCCATGCCACCCACGGGGATGGGATCCCACATGCTGCCGGGTATGAGTTCGCAGATGGGGCAGCAGCAGCAGCAGCTCGTCCCAGTCCAGCAGGGGGGCAACGGACAGCAAGGGGAGGTGGAAAGCAGCAGCAGTGAGTCGGTGGATCCATTTGATGATCTGCTGTCCACTGATAAGCCGCTCGCTTTAACTTAACTGTTTTGACTGAGTTGTGTTTCGTTCATGAGCATGCCAGGGGAAACCTTACTTTTAGCGGATGTCACATGCTCTTGTTTTTGGGTCCTGCTTTCAGGAGTGAGTCATCGGCACCAAGAAAGAAGAGGAAGTCAAGAGGCAGATCGCAGGAGAAGAAATCCAAAAAGGAGAAGAAGAAGAAGGAGCAGACTCAGAAGGACAAAAGCAAAGGCAAAAAAAAGAGGAAAGGAAATCAGAAGCCTTCGTCCAAGAAAGGCTGTGCTTGAGTGCTGGCATCATGTGAATTTTCTGCTCTGGACTGCCTAGTGAGCTACATTCCCCTGGTCCTTGATTCTGTGATGCAGCCCACCAGATGGCAAGAAGAAGAAAGTATCCTCATCCGGTTCCTCGAGACCGAGAAGTCCCTCGAGTGATTCCGATGATGCCTGTAGCCGCTATAGCCTCTTGTCTGTCATGCTGTCATAGGTCATGGCTGTTTTGGTTCAGGCATGAGCATTTTGTGTTAAACTTGTGAAGATGTGATTGACTCTGAGGTGAGGAGCTGGACAAGATGCCTGGCCCTGTGGAAGAAATCTTCGAAGACAAACACGTACCCAAGGCCAGATGAGGGAGATATTGAAATCAGGAGTGATTTGCAAGAGTGCAAAATCTGGCCAGGCGAGATGCCCTACGGCTCCTGACCCATCTTGATGAGGAGCGCTATGCCCCAGGCTTGGGCGCATTATTCGCAGTGTTGCTCTCTTGTTTTGTGCACGTGCTATGTTGTGTAATCTCCATTTTGAAACATGTTCCAAGTCAACCATGCAAGTGGCAAATATACGCTACAGCCGCTAAAGAGATCCATTCCGGGTTACTGCTGCTGGCAGGTATCAGGCACCAACTCAGCGATGTACATCTGGGCATGTGTTTTTGGTTGAGCTGTGGTTTACCACCAAGCATGCGAGTACGTGACCTCCGGGCTCGCATCAGAGGTGAGCTGAGCCTCGGTCCATTCTCGGTGTGTTCACTGTCCATGTTCAGTGGAATCATGTTCTGCCTGGTTCTGGGCTACCTGTGCAAACGATATGTGTTTGACTGAGGAAGGCCAAAGTCAAGGATGCCCGGGAGCGGTATTTGGCCAGGGTCGGCCTGGACCGCATGCAAGAAGTGAAGGCAGACTTCTCGAACTTGGCCACTTGTCGCTGAACATTGTCGAATTAAAGTAGCTTTGTCCTGTTCGTCCTATTCCTCCTTACTCTGCTGCTGTGTTGAATCAGGAAGAAATTGCCGAGAAATATGGCTGGCAAGATGCCTACCTTGGCAAGACCTTGAGCCAGGCAGGTTTTTTATGTTCTTCGCGCGACAGCCATTGTACGTGTCAGTTTCAAGTATCGTATACCAGGAGGGCGGAGGCTTTAAGCCTGACATGAGACAGACTTACTGGGTGGAAACCGACAAGTCGGGGAATGGCTGGTTGAGATTTAAAGAAGGACTGAAGTTGATTTGACCGGTTTCGCCTTGCATACGTCCTTGTTGCTGACCTCCTTCTTTTTGCTTGGGTGGTCGTTGTCAGGAGGAGATCCAAAGCTTGTCATTCCTGCTGGAGTTCCTGCCTGCAGGATTTATCGACAGGGCAAGCCTCTCTGCAGCAGTGTGTTCTTTGACAACTTCATTTTGTTGTTTCAGTTTGCTTCTGAGGTTTATGCTTCAAGGGCCGGGCCCGAAGTTCCAGCTGCTCGATTGCCAGGCCATCTTCGAGAAGGAGGACTCGCATCAAGAATGGATTCAAGCTCTGGCATCTTGATTATTTAGTTTCTTTTGGCGAGGGCTGTACCCCGTTTCACTGCCATGGAAGTTCTGGCTGAGGTGGAGGCTGCTAAGCTCAACAACCGCGAAAGTTGGGTGGAAGGAGTCAATCAACTGATGATCCCGGCCACGTTCGAGGCCAAGGATCCTACCACGGAAGACGACAAGCAGAAGAGGCTAGCTGGATCTTTGTTTGCACCATGCCCACCTTGTTGCAGCAGGTTAGTGGTATGCTTTTCTTAGCAGTCACGAAATACCTTGGCTCGATCGATACAGTACTTCCCAAGGACTGGGTGGTGCACTGGGCCTGCTGCCGGCCAAGGTCGATGTCCCAACTCTGGTGAGGTTTTGTTGGCCTAAATCCTGATGCCTAAACCCAAACCCTCAAAACCCTAATGCCTAAACCCAAAACCAAAACCCTAAGCCCTAACCGCTAACCCTTAAATCCTAAGCCCTAAACCCTAACCCCTAAACCTTCTTTAACATTGCGAGGTGGAAAGCAGGGAGCCGCGAGGCATCGAATTGTCG